ATTTATAAGTGTAGAGTGGGCCGACGAGGGGGTGCCGCCGTAGCAGCCGACAAAACTGCAATTTGTGAGCGGCACGGCGAAGCACACACTATATCGGCGCCACGAAATGGCAGGCCGCCACAAGCAGATGACATAGCAGCAGGGAAGCACAGGCAGCGAACAGGATGACGGCATATATTTCATATAAACTTAGCACTTTCATGATGGGCTATAATGATCGAGGCCCTCGTCAGGCCCCTCAGCTATCTTATACAGTTTCAGGCTCGCCACCTCAACGGTGTAGTAGAGAGTAATAAGCGACCGCTCGTGGTCTAGTGACATGTCGGCCAGAATTTAATCCTTCGAGGTCAGCTTATGTCCAGTCGACGCGCATGGTGTACTCACTCCACGAAGCTAGGCGACGCCCTTAGCACTGGCAGCACAGGCGATAAAATTCAAGAACGCATGCCACTAAGCGCTGTCCCGCACTCCCGACCCGGCGTCCTTTTGCATTAGGTGCAAGGCAACATCGCCAACAGCGGCCGCGTCACGACTCTCGATCTCGGCCGTCAAGGGTACGAGCTTTTCTTAGTTCGCTTCAGAAGTCAGACCTCGTGCAGTTGCTCCGGTCACATCAGGGGGACCATACCTAGCTTCACGTTTCCGCGGCGGTCCACGAGTATGTTCCTACATCGAAGGCTGCCGTAGCCTAGATGCATAGCATAGAGGAACATCAGCCTATCTAGTACCTAGCATTGTAAGCAGGGGAATTATCCTATGCGGGCCGAGGGGTCATGCCTAGATAAGGATCAAACGTAGCTGCCTGTCGCTTAGATGTGTCGGACAGCAAACGAAGTAATGCAGATATAGTGTCATCTCTTCCATAACTATATAATGTAAACCTTGGTAGTTGAAAGCCTCCACAACCTCGACGACGTTCCTGTGTCAGAGCTATAAGTATAACTAAACGGTACGCTAGTCTAGAGTAGTAAACTGCCTAATGAGCACAACACGCCAGGCGCCCACAGCGACGGTGGCGTCGCCATCAAAGTCTAGAGTGGTGTAGGCCTTCTTGTACCGGTCCTTCGCCCACGGATTTCCTTTAACAGGAGCGCGGACCGCCACAACTTCTTTTACACGAATAGGTTCTTATTTCGGGGCCGGTGCAGCTGCGGGCTGACAGACGACTCTAGGCGGCGCCAGACGCCTTATAGGTGGTACGGGGGGAATGGCGCTATGAATATCGCTTACGCGCTCACGCTGGCCACTATCGTCGCCACCGTAGCTATTATCGCTATCGTGGACACTGTAGCCATCTTTGCCGACCTAGAACTGCGTGGTCAGTCTCATGCCTATGGTTTCGTCCGTTGCGTGGCCCGTTGCACCTAGAACCAGACTGCATCGCAGGTTTTATACCGCTAAGAGGAGTAGCTTTCGGCTACGGCGTGCTTATGATATAAACTACTGCTATCCTGAGTAGCGATGGATAGTGACTAATGACCTTCACTGGGATAATGCCCTGAGGATAAGACAAAATCAACTCGCCGGATTGGCTGCTGCGTCAGAAAGACATGACCGCCTACTACGAGCTCCGCCACTACTATCTAAACAAGGATAAGAAGGGTGTGAGGATTTAGCTTGCCAGGCTCTCCACAGATCACGCCCGAGTCTGCGTGAAGCGACTAATATTCAAGGCCCCTGAGTACGCAGCCGCGCTTAATCCCCTCCTGGCCTTGCAGGGCCTGCGGGCTGGCTTTTAGCTAAGGTCGATGCATAAAGTCATTAGCCTCTGGTTTTCCGAGGTAATATGCGGTGAAGTGTCTACGCCTGCCCGCTGACTCTTTTGAAGCAGGTGCATTCGTACTAGCAACATATTAGGATAACCTGGAAGCTAATTGCCGAGGGCGAGATGCTTACCGCGGCCGACGTGGGTTTGCTAGAGGGCAAATGTCCCAAGTATTCCGAGAGCGACGCGTCTAAGATCGCTACTCTTATTAAAGATAGATCCTTGTTCCCTAACGCGAATCCACAGTGGCGTGCCGGCCTACTAGGACGCCTAAAAGATCTGCTATTAATGACGATACGCTCTCTTAACACATTCTTTGACGATCTTCGGCTAATGGAACAGTTTATACCCTATATATACCACATAGTAGATAAAACGCCTAGAGAGTTATGCGATTTGATCTTGTAAGGCGCATACCGCAAGCCTTTAGGCTTCAAGACTACGAGACGAGTACTATGGCGATTCCTCTTACGACATTTCACTAAATTGCCGCGACTCTCCGTAAGACTAAGAAGCCGTCTCCTCGCTAAGTAGAGGCCTAGCCGGCCGGATGAGGAGAGGCTTCATGCCCTGGCGACCCTTACATATGACCTGGGCTTCAAATCTGACAAGATTACGTAACTAAGACGGGTATCTGCAGAGAAGCTCATCGCGAAGCATGCGCTACTATAAGCGCTTAAGCCACCTAACTTCAGAGCTAACAGCTCTCATTTCGAGAGTATCTAGGATGCCATGGTAGAAGTCTGTCGCAGGGTACCGAAGATGCCGCGCCCTATGCAGTCTGGTAAACTTGTTAGCAGTACACCGTAGAGGCCCGTCTACGTCTCAGGCTTTCCTGATCTTCTTTTATACGAGCGTGAAAAGGAGCATCTAAGCAAGTGGGATGCTAATTTTCTACAGTCACCGCCGCCGACCAGCTGGCATGTAACAACGCTCTTCCGCTTATAGTCGCTTTATCACGCCCTCTTTGATCTTCTGATAGACTTAGGTAGTGAGAAAAGGATAGGGCGAAGAGAATCCTGGGAAATGATTATGCCTAAGGATTCCGGAGATTTTTTCCAGCTGAGCGAGTCAGAGGAAGATGAGGAAGCTAGTGATCGCGCTTAAGACAGGGAGTCTATCACTTTCTAACAACAACCGTATAACGTTATATTTATAGAGCTTCAGAAGTCAAAGTGGCGCGTTCTGGGCCGAGTGGAATCACTAAACAATAAAAACGTTTAGAGAGAGGCGAAGGGTCTCTATGGCAGCCACTTTCTGGCCGCCATTAGTATAGATGGCGTGATAGGTTTTATCGCTCCGGAAGACTGCCTCCACAGCGCAGCGGCTTCGGGGATTAGCACCGTGTTAGCGATTACCATAGACGTAACTGCGTACGATATTAACACGATTTCGTACCATGCTAGATTATTATATGAATAAAACGGCCAAGCCAATGCAGAAGCGAGCAAATGCGTCTTACTCGGTGAGATTCACTCGGGGGCGGCGGGACATTAACAGCCCAGGCTATTTGATGCCCAGTCCGTCGTATTTTTAGACACTCGATCAGTAACTGTCTA